CTTCCTGGCTGGGTGGGGGCTCTGGGGGCACTGCCTCCTTCCTTGGCTGGGCCGTGGTTTTCCTGACGGGTGCCACCTTCCACGCGGAGCCTGCGGGCAGCAGTGAGCAGGAACACAGCTCCTACGTGTGCAACAAGAGGCAGCAGATCCTACGGCTGGTCAGCCAGTGGGTGGCCCTGTACGGCCCCATGCTCCACGCAGACCCCGTGGCCTCCAGCTTCCTCCAGGTGCCTGGGCGCGAGGGGTCTGGCTGGGCCCCCTGGGGCTGCAGGCGGCTCAGTGACTGCTCTTGCTCTTCACAGAGACTGTCCGAGCTGGTGAGTGAGGACGTCCAGTTGAGCAGCCTGCTGAGGGGGCAGTGGCCAGAGAGGCGGCGACACCACAGGTGACCCTTGAGCCAGTGACTGGCACCCCCGCCAGCCGCACAAGGGCACGAGAGTGCTCACTGCTGGGCACCTCCCACTGTGTGCCCCAGCCCCTCTCACCGCCACGCCGTCCACTGGCTCCTTCTCTACCCGGCACACCTGCTGTCCTCACTTGCCCCATCCAGCTCACTTACTGCTGGAAACCCTCAGTGCTGGTCCGTGCCACAGTCCCTGATGTCATCACTACCTTCCCAGACATTCCCGTGGAGGCGGCTGAGGCTGGGGATAGGGCTTGGGGGTCCAGAGCTCCCCTGAACCAGTCCGTCTGCCTCCCCGGGTCTCTGCCCGCCATCCGCTCCCCTGCCTCCTTGGAACATCCCGGGAGCCCTGGGCCTGGTTTCTAGCCTGTGTGCCTCCGTGAGGGTGGGCGGGTGGCTCCAGGGCCAGGGCCTGCCGTTGCTGCCGTGGGAGCCTGGCTTCCTCCTCTCACCTCCTCTCCTGCCCCACAGGCTGGAAAACGGCTGCGGGAACGCCTCTCCTCAGACGAAGGTACTGGCCTGGGCCTGCCGTCGGCGCTGCCGGGGATGCTCTGGGCCGTGACAGGTGCCCCGGGCCTTGCTCTGTGCCACTCCATGGCCAAGCCCCCTGGTGCAGACACAGGGGTCTGGGGTGGCCACCATCTGACCGCCCTGCCCGTCCCAGCCGGCGCTTGTGCAGCCTCGTGCCCCTTGCTGGGCCAGGCGCAGGCTCACCTCAGGGCTTCTGCACCTGACTCAGCCGGGAGCGTCCCCCACTGGCTCTGCCTGACGCGGGCCCCCTCGTTCCAGCCCTGCTGAGCCCCGTGCATCCCCTGCAGAGCTCCGCCCCCCGGGGTTGGTTTCTCGGCAGGTCGGCCTATCCATGGCCTGTGTGCAGCACTGATTTGGCAGGGGGAAAGAACACGCGCCACACACCCGCCCTACCCTGGGGCCTGCGCCAGCCTTCCTGGGCAGGGGTCCGGGTGCTAACACATAGGCAGAGCCGCCAGGTGTGCGTGCAGCGCGGCCCCTGTACCCGGCCCCTCCCCTCCCCAGGCACCCTCGGTGTCCGCCCCTCAGGCTTTCTCTCCCTCTCAGGCCCAGAACGCACCTGTCTGGCTCCCCGGCCATGACGAGCTCCTGGCCAGCAGCAACTGTGCCATCCGGGCTGGGGACAAAGGTGGGTGCTCGGCCACGGGGCTAGGGGACGTGCACTCCCTGCTGTCATCGCCGAGTGCGTGTGCCTGGTGTGTCTGGGCTCAGGGCCTCTCCGCCCCACAGTGCACCCCAGGCCCCTTCCCCGCCGCCTGACCCTCCAGGGATGGGGAGGCCGGGTGACCCCTCCGGCTCAGCCTCGGCCTCCTCTCCAGTCCCCTACGATATCTACCGGCCCGACCACTCGGGGCTGACCCTGCAGCTGCCCGTGACGGCCTCTGTGCGAGAGGTGCTGGTGGCCTTGGCTCAGGAGGACGGCGGGACCAGGGGGCAGGTGTTGGTGAAGGTCAACTCTGCAGGAGGTGAGTTGTGGGCCAGCCCTGGGGGAGAGCGGGCACCAGACCGAGTCTGTGCTGAGGGCCGCGATGTGCAGGGAGCATGCTTTACCCCAGGTGTCCTCGGGTGGGCCTGCACCTCCTGCATGGGCACTGCTCTCATTTGACCCTGCTGACTGCCCGGGAGGCTTGTGGACAGGAAGCCGGGACTCGGGTCAGAGTGTGCAGCTGCCTCGTGGGGTCCTTGTTCCCTCGGGCACTGTGGACCCACAGCATGTTAGGGAGGGCAGACGTGCCCTGGCCGGACAGTCAGCCCCATGGCCACAGCAGAGCTGTGTCCCAGGCACGCTGCCGAGCCTGAGTGTACCTAGCAGGCAGAGCACGTGTCCAGCCCTCAGCACACAGGCCTGGCACAAGGCCAGGGCACAGGCTGTGGCTGCACGACGAGTGGGTATGGGCCCGGGCAGAATGGGAGGTGCGGGGGACAACAGCCTCTCCCTGCAGGTGATGAGGCCACCTGCGGGCTCCCTCCTGTGGGGCACTGCCCCCTAGTGGCCACCTGTTGAGTTGCAGTTGCCCAGGACCCTGTCATTGGGGTTCTATTGCGCACCTGGAGCTTTGGCGGTGCCAGTGTTCAGACCGTGATGACGGACAGACTTCAGTGGCTGATATTTTATTACAAACCCCCGAGTGAGTGTGTGTGTGACTCATAACGCTGAAGAACTGCTGTTGTGCCACCATCAAGCTGTACATGAAATACAATTGCAAAGCAGCTGCCTTACCCCCAGGGACTAAGACCACAGCCTGCAGTGCTGGGCTGGGGGGCAGCATCAGGACGCCCTGAGCACGGCTCCCAGCCTGCAGGGGCTTCCACGTACATCAGGGACTCCAGGCCTACCAAGTGCTCCTGTGTGGTCAGGCAGGTCTTGCCATCTCCACTCTGCATTCGGAAGCTCAGATTTGGAGAGCCACACTTGCCCAGGGGCCTCCCTGGCTCATGGAGTCCCCTTCCTGCCTGGGCAGTGTGAGTATGGGCCCCTCCCCACCCAGCTCAGCCCCTGCTCTCTCTGCAGATGCTGTGGGCTTGCAGCCAGATGCCCGCGGTGTGGCCACATCCCTGGGGCTCAATGAGCGGCTCTTTGTGGTCGACCCACAGCAAGTGCATGAGCTGGTAAGCACCGGGACGGGGTGTGGGTGGCGGTCAGGGGAGGGGTCTGGCTCTGGCTGCTGCTGGCCCTGCATGTTGGTGGTGAGGACTAATGGGATTTGCTGGGTAGAGGACTCTCCGGGAGACAGGAGCCCTGTTGGGGGTGGGGGGTGGGGACGGGGGATTCCCAGCATCAGGGAGCTGTCAGGAAGCCTAAGGGCTCCTCTGCCCCGTGGCCTGCTCACCTTCCCCAGCACCCTCGTCCCACCCTGTGCTCTCGCTTGCAGAGTCCACACCCTGAACAGCTGGGGCCCACGGTGGGCTCAGCTGAGGCGCTGGAGCTAGTGAGCGCCAAGGACCTGGCCAGTCAGCTGACCGAGCAGGACAGGGACCTCTTCTACAGCGTCCACCAGGTGTGGGGCCAGCTGAGGTGGCCATGGGTGGCTCTGACCACGCTTCCCCCACCTCGGGCCCACGTGGAGCTGATCCACGCCTCTCCCGCCCACGGGGTGTTGATCCACACCTCCCTCTGCCCAGGTGGAGCTGATCCTCTAAGGGGGGGGGCAGCAGGTGGCCCCAGGTGGCTCCGACCATGCATCCCCTGCCCACGTGGAGCTGATCCACGCCTCCCCCCCCCACCCACGGGGAGCTGATCCACGCCTCCCCCCGCCCATGAGGAGCTGATCCACTATGCTGGTGGGGGGGGCAGCAGGTGGCCCCAGGTGGCTGACCATGCATCCCCTGCCCACGGGGAGCTGATCCACGCCTCCCCCCCACCTACGTGGAGCTGATCCACACCTCTCCTGCCCAGGTGGCTCTGGCCACGCCCATGCCCCCCCCTGCCCACGTGGAGGTGATCCATGCCTCCCCCACCCAGGTGGCTCTGACCACGCCTCCCCCCCCAGGTGGAGCTGATCCACTACGTGCTGGGCCCCCAGCACCTGCGTGACGTCACCACTGCCAACCTGGAGCGCTTCATGCGCCGCTTCAACGAGCTGCAGTACTGGGTGGCCACGGAGCTGTGCCTCTGCCTCCTGCCCGGCCCGCGGGCTCAGCTGCTCAGGAAGTTCATCAAGCTGGCTGCCCAGTGAGTGCCGGGGCCTGCGGCCTCCTTGTCCTGAAATCTGGCTCCCCGCCCGTCCAGCCCGGGACCCTGTGTCTAGGTCTCTGCTCCTCTGCTCACAGCCTCAAGGAGCAGAAGAACCTCAATTCTTTCTTTGCCGTGATGTTTGGTCTCAGCAACTCGGCCATCAGCCGCCTGGCCCACACCTGGGAGGTAGGTGCCCCTGGAGGCACAGTCCTGGCGAGGCCTCGAGCCCTGGCGGGTGTGGGGAGGGGGCCGCTCTGTGTGGACGCCACAGGGCCCCTCCCGTCTCGCTGTCTTCCAGCGGTTGCCCCAGAAGGTGCGGAAGCTGCACTCCGCCCTCGAGAGGCTGCTGGTGAGTGCCGCTGTCGGCTCCGCCCCCGGAACCCTGCGGGAGGATTCCCAGGCGCCTCCCCCTCTGTGAGGTCCCTCAGGCTCCTGGCAGGGTGCTGGACGCCGGAGAGAGCATGGAGTCCCAGCCTCAGCGTGTGTGGACAGGTCACGCGGTGGCCACAGTGGAGTCCTGGTCACTTGGGGCAGGTGGCAGGGCTGTCTGCTCCTTGATCCGAGTGGACGGTATCAGGGGAATGGTGGTTCCGGCTGCCCTGAGCATACCCGCTCTGCAGGCCCGAGCTGGGGGCTGGAGCCGCCTCGGGGTGGGGGGGATTTTGGAGGCTCTGTGTCTCCGTAGAGCTGTGGGCAGAACAGAGCAGAGCTGGTGCTGGTCCGCTTAGCCCTGGAGCCTTTGAGAAGGAAGCTGGCCTCTTGGGCTCACAGGGCCTTACGTACCAGAGACAGAGACCCCGAGGGGGCAGACACAGGAGTGCCCCAGGAGCCTGGCGCCTGTGGCCCCCGCTGTGGAGCGTCTTCAGGGCTGGTGGGAGATCCGGAAGCCACGGCTGCAGCCCCTGGCCTGGGCTGAGCCCTCTGTGAGGCTGGACCCTGAGGCTAACCTTGTGGCTTAGTGCGGCCTTGGGCCTTCAGTGGGAGGGGTGGGGTGGGAGTCCTGTGCTTGTGGTGGGCAGGACCCCCCACTGCGGCCCCTCCCCCCCCACAGGACCCCTCCTGGAACCACCGAGCCTACCGTGTGGCCCTGGCCAAGCTCTCCCCTCCCATCATCCCCTTCATGCCCCTCCTCCTCAAAGGTAAAGGCCAAGCTCTCCCCTCCTGCCGCCAGTGCTGGGTGGGGCCCAGGGACAGAGGAAGAGTAGAGCCCAAGAGGCAGCCCGTGAGGCCCCCTTTGGAGCCTCCTGGGTTCCCGGAGCCCCTGCAGGAGGTGTGAGAGCTGGGGCGGGGGCCTGGGCCTGCAGGGCAGGGTATGGCTGTGAGCAGACCCCCCTTGCAGACATGACCTTCATCCACGAGGGCAACCGCACGCTGGTGGAGAACCTCATCAACTTCGAGAAGATGGTGAGCGTGGGGGT